TGAGTCTTAAACTTTTCCATTCAGTTCTGGTCTTTACTGGATTTTCCTGTTAATTGTCTTTCTCTCTTCTCCAGAATCAACAAAATCAACAAGTTGATTCTTCCACCAGATAAGCTCATTACTTCAACTGTCTACTGAAACTAGTTCAGAGTTTTAAACCTATCAAAGTGACTAGATTTTCAGCTGAAATTTTGTGTTGAAAGGCGAAATTCAGCAGATTGATGAGATGAAATTGATGATCTTGTTAAATTGAAAATCGTACAAAATGTTCAACAGTTGAACAACATCGAAAATAAAAATCGTCAAAATGCGAACAATGATGAATATTGGAAAAGCCATGCACAGTTGAAGATCAGAGCAGTTAAGGAGCCTCATGAACTGATACTCGATGATGAATGTGATCTAATTATGTTATTTTTTGGTTATTTTTCACTTTTCAAATTCTTAATGAAAAGTTATCAAATGGATTAAAAGTTTACCGCTTTTGTTTTTTGTTTATTAATCATTTTTTTGTGGCTCTCAAAAGATTTAAGCTTTCATTTGGAGGTAAACTTTTTATCCTAAAGATGAATGAACCGTTTATATGGCTGTTAGTTAATGGTTAGAAGTGTTAGGAAAAGTGTTTAAAATTAATACCTGAAAAACTGTGACTAAAGCCCAAAGAAGTGAATCAAAATTCTTTCTATCACATTGAGTCGTGTTATCCGGCATTTTGTCGCAAAATTTACATCCAAATAGATTCATACCTAGAATACTTGAAGACCCAAGTTTGGTCATTTTTTGTATTAAGCAATTAGGAATAGAGAAAGTATTTGTTTTGTTTCGATAGGTTGGTGAAGAGAAAAAGAAGAAAAAAGAATGTCAAAAGAATTGCGTTATTCCAATGAAACATTGAGTGTTGTGTGGTTTAATGTGCATAAGTGTTAGTGTGTGTGTGTTGTTAGTGTGAGTGTCGAGTGAAAGTGAGGAAAGACAATTGAAGTGTGTTATCAATACCAATGAAGATGAGAAAGGTAAGGATGATCCACAAGTAAAGACACTTTTTCTTGAGCTAAACCAATCACGCAATTCAAACTTCTGATAAACGGCTTCAAATAAATGAAAATCTTTCAAGTATTTCCCTCGACTATGAAACAAACTCTAGATTAAACCGCTAATCTTGTCAGCTCATGAAAATGTTCAACAAAATCAACTCATTTAATTTCCTCAAAAGTTACTTTAATAAAATGCTCGAACTTGAGTAACTGAAATACGAAAACTGTTCATTAGATTCGCTAATCTTATCCTCTTCGAACTTCTTCTGATACTTAACATTTTTATCAAGACTTAGCCAGCTTTCATTATCGAAGTTAGAACTGGAAAAAAGGAAATTCAGAAAATTGATTTTTTCTTTCGAATTGAATGAGAAAAGTAATTAAATATTTAACACTCTTTGATTGGAAAGATATTTCTGTAAATTGAAAAGTTGATCAAATATAATAATATGAACAAATGAAGCAAAAGCGTCTTTACTTGTGAACCATCGATTGATTTGGATTGAGATTTGAGATGATGTTAGATTTAAATGTAATTTTAGTCGATGAAGGTTTTTGGTTCAATGAAAACTGAACAATATAACTTTTATTACTTTAGATTGGTATTGAATGTGCATTAAAAGTGCAAATCTAGTCTAATCAGCTAATTAAACAAAATTTGAATATCATTTTAGGAAATTTAATTTGCAACTTTTGTCTTCATTTTATGATTGGTAACAATTTGCAATTAATAATTAATTTTTGCACAGAATAACTTTTCACTTTTTACTGGATTGCTTTATGACAATCTAAACACGCAAGTAACATATTATTTAAACTTATCATTATAGGTAGAAATAAAATTTTATTATATTTAATTGAAGGCAAAAGTTATTAATTAAAACTCTTTTACTATTTTATTAATGTTATTATTAGCAAAAATTTAATCACTAGAATTATTTATCAAATTTATCGATTTTCTTTTGTTTCAAGTTTCCTCTTAATTAGATTTTAAACATTTTTTTACAACTAAATTGGATTCAAGTTTTGAGTCAATTTTAAATTAATTTTTCATTGATTGAGTAAAGTTGTGAAAATCAGATTCTCTTCTAGATTCATGTTGAACCGCAATTACAAAACTGTATTTAGAAATGAATTTCAACTGAAAAAGGAACATTTCGCTTCAAATCGATTCTTGAAGGTTGACCTTTCATGTTGAAACATTCAAAGTTCATTTGAAAGTTTCGTTGAAAATGATTGAGCTAAATATAACTTGAGATGTGATGGAATCAAAAGTGTCTGCATTCCTGAATAATCTGAAGTTTCCTGTCAGTTCGCTGTTCGGTGAAAAATGAAAAGCAAATTCCATAATCAGAATTTTACCCAAAAATTCCTTTCCATTTTACATTTTCAATCATTTTCGTTTTCTTTTATCGATAAAGAATTTTCTGTATTCTTTCAGCAAATTTGGCCAATTAAAGGGTTAATTGAGGAAAGAATGGAAAAATCTGTCAATAATAAGAAATTAAATGATCAAATTGATCATTAGACTAACTCGTCTTTAGTAGCATTTAGTTTTAGATCATTTTAGGGGTTTAAAGAGATAAAATTGATATGTAATAAGATATATCTTTATGAATGTTGTTAGCAGGGAATGAGAGATGAGAGAGAAAAATAAGGTTAATAGTTTCTGTAAAGTAATGTTGAGTAGTGAAACATGATAAGGGATGAAGAGATGAGATTAGAGAAGGTGAATAAGATGAATGAAGTAAATGAATGAAGGGAATGAATGAAAGGAAGGAAACGGTAAAGGGAATGTTGAAATTGAAATGAGGATAATGAGAGAGTAAAAGTTACCTAAAAATGAATATGAAAAGAACTAGAAGAGCGAAAAAAACAGCAACATTATCCAAGGTTCGAAGCATTATAACCAATTGTCTCTTCAATGCTGGCATGAAACGAACCAATTTTAATATTCGCAACAAACGAAAGGTTCTCAAAACTGATAAGCCACTGCCAGAGTCTTCAATGAGCTCCATAATGCTGTAATGATAGTGTTGAGAGAAAATATTGAGAATCATGTTAATGGAGTGAAAAAAAGGTTAGCTGAATAAGAGCGCAGAGAAAATGTTTTTCAAGCAAAATTCAATGTTAATCAAATGGAGAGAAAATCATTTTCTTTTTCCATGAAAAATTTTCTTCTCTCTCCACTTATTTACTCTTATCACGCTATTGTAATGTTTTTGGTGAAAAATTTCATTGACTTTGAATCGGCACCTTTTTACCTGGTTATCTGATTAGACTGTTGAATGAAAATCGATATTCAACTTTTTTTGAAATTTTGATTTGCATTTTTTATGGAAAAGTTAAGTTTATTTTTGGTTTTTGCTTTGAAAGGTTTACTTGCCTTACAAGGACGACGATTCCGTCGAAAACGTTGAATCCGTCGGAAATGTAGTGGAAGCATCCTTCGGCTAGGATTTTAAGTGCCATTTCGATGCCAAAGAGAAAGGTAAAGATGAGGTTGGACATTTCAAGAGCTTGTGTCAACTCGTCGGGGCTGATTGTGATACTCGATTCCCCATGGGAAAGAGTGTTGAAAAGAATTGCTAGGAAAATGAAACGTTTGAAAGTAACGATGGTTAACCAGGAGACGAAGGTAACGACGAACGAAACGTAGACAGATTAAAAGACGGAGACTCGATGCACATGCGCAGACTTGGATCATCGTCGAGTGAATCCAAAGAGTTTTCTTCATCATCTGTGGGTACATCATCATCAGGCCTCATCATCTGTTCCACCGGACCAAGAACATCGAGATCCATCTCGGTTCTTTACAATTACTTGGACTTCCA